AAGACCGATTCTCTGTTATTTAATGCCTCATTAGTACTGTTTTTACTAGAAATGCCATTACATACACTTAGCTGATGCATGTGAATGTAAACAAAACAATTACTTTCAGTTTGGACCTTATTAAACATATAACGAAAGCCTTCTACCTAGTTATAGAATCAATCAGTGCTTTTTTGCCATGACAATTACAAAAAACCTCTATTATTCTGCAAAATTCCAATGGCCTATTTCGATTTTTCGATGTTTATCAAGTTTATTGGCTAAAAACTTGTCAAGTGCACAGACTAGGTGTTAATTTTACTAGAGCATTTCAGCTCAAAAATCGATTTGTAAAAATCACTGCATCCGGCATATAACTAGCTTATGACAAAAATATATATTATATGTGACATTTTCAAGCTTGCCTTTTTTTTTAATCAGAGGCATAATTGTCATTAAAATAAAATCTATCAAAAGGATCTCACTGCGTTGAATTTGTAACGTGCCTGAAATCGCTGTTCATGGGGAATTTAAGGACATTATTCCAGCCAATCTACCAATGTGTTTGTTTTGATTTGTTTGAGGCGTATTAGTAGTGAACGCTGTGTAATTTCAAACCTACAATAAGGACGACATCCGTAATTTTTACTCATTTCTGCGAGTATTAAACATAGAAAAGGCTACTTCCTTACAGGGTCTTGATCGCAGGTGGAATAAACAAAACATTAAAAAACAACAGTTTTTGTGTAAAGTATGCGATAGCTAAGTGCACGAAGTTGTTAAAAGTAATTTTAATTTGTGCGCAAATTACACACTGGTTGTAACCGTACTGACAATTTCGTAACAAACATTTTAGTTAACCTTGCGACTGAGACACGGTAGACAAATGATTTTTATAAAAATGTGCAAATTTCGGAGCTTGAGCAATGTAAAAATTTGAGGCCTTTCTACTCGGGAGACAAGAATTAAACATTCAGAATCAATTACCTGACATCTTCTGTGTCACGAATTTTTACCTGTAATCACCTCTCGGGAATTCCCCAAATTGCATTTTTTAGTTTTACGCAATTAATGTCACGGATTAGTTTTTTAAACTTCAAAAATTTCGTCCTTTTCGCAAGTACAATTTCTCCCACCCACTAAGTTTAAATTTAGGTTAGTCATCCTATTTAACATGACTCTAGTTAAAAAAATCCTTTTTTTCCTGTCAAAAGTCGATGTTAACTTGTGTTGGGTTTAAAATATGGTTTCTTTGAATAAACCACCTTGTGAATTTGTGCATTTAAGCGTCATTTTTAAGTGGAGTTTGTCGGATGGCCTTGCCCTTTTTTTACCTTAGGGTGATGTTGTCCCTTTTATTATCATCTTTGAGAGTTGCTTAACTTACTCGATTTCCTTGCGTCATTTCACATCTCTTCCTGTACACAGCACCAGTCAGATGGATGTAGAATTTTGCGGATGATTATGCCCTCTTCAAGTCTTAATTCCGCCCCCGAGGAAGAATACGACTTGCGACAGTGCGCTGAGTGGCTGAACCGCTGCCGGATTATTCCCGATGATCATCCTACATTAATGCCAGAAGGATGTGGCCTGCAACTTGTTCAGACCCTTATGGACGGAGTTGCCATTTGCAACCTTCTCACCACTTTGACAAATGGTGAGGTGGATCCGAGGAAAATGAAGGACTTTAGTCCCAGGCCACAGCAGTCGCAATTCCTATGTGTTCAGAACATTCGATTGTTCATCAACCTGTGTGAAGAGGAATTCGGGATCGACCGGAAATACTTAATTGAACCGAGTGATCTATATCACGCAAAAAATTTTGGAAAAGTCATTGAATTGTTATCTAGATTATCGCGCTGTCCCAGATCGCAGCTCTCAGGGATACCGTAAGTTACTCTATAATAACTTACCTTGGTCCAAAGTGGGTTCCCCCCCGAAAATGCTGACCTTCAAGTTCATCATGAGTATTACAATAATCTCAAAGATATTGCCGCTTCAATGTAAGCTTCCACTTGGCTTAAAATAAATTTCTAGGGATGACATGCAAGTGGCTGCAGAATCTAATTATGCTGACATGGAAGAGGAAACAAATGAAATTGTTTACGATACGATTGTACATGGAGGCGGAAAAACTTCAACGCCGGTAACCTGTGCTAATTTACAAATAATTGTATTTACAGCAAACTGGAGATAAGCCAACATCCCCTAGGTCATTTTGTATAAAAGAAATCGTATCAACGGAAAAGAACTATGTGGATGTTCTCAAAATGCTCATCGAAGTGAGTGGCTTTTCGTGTGCTCTCTAGTCTGATTCATAGAAATACAAATGGCCATTATCAACGGTGCTTTCGTCACAAGAATTGGAAGAAATATTTAAATTTATTGAAGTGAGTTTTAAATAATTTAGTCATTAGCTTATCTTGAATGACTCATTTGATTTCGGATTGTTGATTAGGAGCTTCATTGTATTCATCGTGAACTACTCTCAAACTTGAGCCTGGCCGTTAGCACGACGCTGACTGTGCTAACTCTTGGTGAAGTATTTATAAAGATCCGGGACCGGCTATTGATCTATGGTGAATATTGTGGCCACGTTCAGAGGGCTCAGACGCTTGTTTTAGAGATAACCAAGAATGACGTCGAAAAACGAACAAAGGTCCAGGTAAGTTGTTTCTATTGAGTTAGACTATTTTTTTTTACCACGATATAATTCAGCTTTTTAAAAACCTTACTTTTTTCTAGGAATGCCAAGCTCAGTCGGAAAATTATAGTAAATTTCATCTCACAGAACTGTTGACAGTTCCCATGCAGAGAGTTTTGAAGTATCATCTTTTGCTCGAGGTACATTTCGTGGTATACTCTACATATGTCTACTGCATTATTATTATTTTTACTGGCTAGTGCTTTACAATGGCATTTCTTTGCCACAGTTGGTTAAAATGCACACGTAATCAGTAATGTTCACTACATCGTTTCACACGTGTCACTATTACTTAAGAAAATTCTGGTTCTCTATGCCCAGTTTGGTATACTCCGTTTAAACGTTACACAACACATGGTTTCCCATTACTGCAATATAGACAGTCATGACACGCTCTTTCACTGTGTAGAATAAGTTATTACGCAAAGTCTTTTTCCCCCTTTTCGACCACGGCTCCACGTGTTTGTGCTTCCGATCACAATCGAACGCGGACTACCATGCTTTGGTGCATTTAGGTCCAATATTATCGCATTCTTCACTTCATCTCTACCGCTCCCCACTTATGTGCTTTCCTTTGGATCACTTGCTACGCCGACTAAAATTCAGTCAAAACATCTAGGATCGTATCCTTAGGTGATACAGGTAGATTGGGGTGGGAACATCTGTTATCCATCTGTTACTGCACACAACTTCATCTCGATGTTTTACTAAGTGGTGTGCTATTACATCTCACATTCAGTGCATTCACTTAGTTTTTTTTTCTTATAAGCAACTCTGCAAGTTAACTGATGATGACCACCCCGAGAAGCCTGAATTGCTGACCGCTTTGGATGGCATGCGAGAGCTCGCGCAAACAATAAACGAGGTTAAACGTGACTTGGATACCATTTGCGCTATTGACCAGATCCAAGCGAGGTTAGTGTTGCAACAAATGCTCCTTTAGATTTTACATCAGCTTTTTCTTTTTTTTCCATATGCGATTGTTGGCCCATTCAATGTAGCTGCTGATTAATGTAGATTATCCGTCAGGGCTTCGCCGAAATCATTGTTTCTCATTCTAAACGGTATATATTAAAATTTAAAACAATTCGGCAACATCTACCAGATCAACATCATATGATTATTAATAAGTAAATAGTAGTTAGACAGGAACTATCAGTCCTAACACTTTAAAAGCATTTAACCAACAATACCTCGACCGCTAATAGTAAATAATGAGCCTAACATGATCGTTGGCGAAGTTATTTAGTTTAAATCTTTTTGCCAAGAAATAATAGTTTAAATCTGATCACTTTCTACTAGTTTCCATCTGTCCTAAGTGCTCTTTCCAATTAAATTTGACCAGATGGTATTTCATCTTCATTAACTTATGTCATTTCATCTGACAGCTTTGTATTCGGCAATATTTTTTTCGTTTTAGCCTTCTGGAAATAACTTTGGTAAGTATATCATCGCGTCGCTATATTTTGTTACATTCCAAAAATTCCAATCAAGTTTAGGCACTATCTCTCCTGAAAACTACTTTCGTGGTACAACTCTAGTGCCAAATTTTTGAGATTGAGTGCTATACTGCATTTGTAATGTGACTTTTTCGACTCTTTAAATACCTCAATTTACACTTTCTGATTCGCAAACTACCTTTATTCTACATTATCTGATTGTCATCAACTCGTGCTTTCAAGGAGTCTGTTAAGGCTCAACCACCCCCCACATAATAGAAGGGAAATATGCCTAAATTTGTTTACTGCAATTTTGAGCATATTGATGTATTGTAATTTTTCGGCCGTATTTTGGGGCAGTAGAGATTATTTCCGCTACCTGACAAAATTCTTAATTTGCTAGAACTTACTGCCCCATATTGTGGCGTCCTTTTCAGTTACTCTTCACTATTACATCAAGGGTATTTGAACAAGTTTGGCAGTGATCAGTTGTTCAAGGTGTCAGCTATGACGTCTCGTACAAATTAAACAAAATCTCGACCTGTTGAAAAGGCATTGCAGTAAAATTCTGTTAGATTTACTACAAAGTGCTGACGTTTTAAATATGTTGTATTACGCAATGAACTATTTTTCATGGAACTTGCTTATTCTTCTACCAACCCTGTACCCAAAATGGAAGGATAGTTTTCTAGGATTAATGTGTTTTACAATCATCAGTTAAATGTCACTCCCGTCCATTAATTGTTCCTTAACCGTTTCACGCATTTCTTCACATTTGTCTGCTTGAATGAATTACCAGAGCCTGCTTTTTGAATTTCGTCTCTTGAGTTAAAACCTTTTTAGACAGTAATCAGAAAAACCCACATTGTACTCCATCATGAGACGTCATTTATTGCAAAACGCTTCTGAGGATTTCGCCTTTAATTTATCGTGTTAATGGTAATGCTGATGATCACGGAATCCTGAATATATACTGTCGAGGCTCTACATTACATTCATTCCATTCTTACCCATGCATTAATTGCATCTTTCTTTGGCTACATCATTTATCCATATGGCGTAAACTTGTACGTGATTTATAACATGCCTTAATTAAGATTAAACGCAGTACCTTTTAGCCAACCATCCACGTCTTTCGTGCTCGCCGCTGAATTTCTCGTTAACAAACATTCAGGCTTTAAGACCCTCTCTTTAAATGAATTGTCTGCTAGCTGAAAGTTAGGACAATGTGGTGTTGGTGGTGATGGTGGTGGCGTTTCATTTGTCACGAGTTCCTTCTTTGTCACTTCACACAGGCCAAATTAACGATATCCCTTTTCGGACATAAAAGTTTTTGAAGAGTATTCTCTGACCCAAATCAGATGTTAGTGTTGGCTTCCACACTCTGACCTATTCACCCAGTACTTTGGGCCTCATTATTCACATTTCCACTTGCAATATCTATGTGCACACGAAAGTTGGCGCATGCATCCTGCATATTAACACAAACATTTTCCCGCGGTGGTAAATTCTATGGGATAATGATAATTTTTGGATGGCGTCATCCAGCCGAAACTCTTTCCCCAAATGAGGTATCTTTAGTAATAAGAGCCACGAACGAGGATTTGGCAGCCAAACCCACGTGTCAACAGCTATTCCGTGCACACGTGAGCCAATTATAGGTCTGGACGGATCGTCGTGACTCACGCGTAATATTTAATTTTGGTGTCCGTCAAACACTTATTTCCGCATGGCTCATGCCATGATCTGCCCAATTTCCCTCTCATTTCAAACTATCGTGACTGCTAAACATGGGCACCAGAAAACCAACTCTACGTCATATCGCAGTTTTGGAAAGTTCATTACCTTAATAACGGCAATTTGTCATCATACTTATCTACTCCTGTTTTTACATATCAGATAATGTAAATGCAAATTCTTAACTGTCAAGTTGTTCCACAAAGTTGTGTCAAGATTAGCGGCCCCTAGTAAACATTGTGGTTGTAGTAGTCATAGTTCATGCAAGTTTTCTCTGTTCCTAATTTTTGTCTGTCAACGGGGTGAAAATACTTGGTAACGCAGAATTCGTAAAAATCACGGCATGAGGTTTGTTTTGGCCAGTGGACGTGGCGTTCAGTAAAAAGTACTGCGTTGGTGCTGGATGACCGGCAGAATGTAGTATAGCCCAGAATGGCTTATTTTACCACGCATTTAGTCGCTGATACCTAACATTGTAATAGTTTTGTAGCCACGCAGGGTGTTTGTAGTCGCCCAGGGGAAAGTTAATTTGTCCGATTAGGCCTAATTTCGATTTGGCATGACTGGTTTTGTTGATAACGTGTCATCGTGAATCAATCACTGCCATTTTCTGGCAGTGCTTTCTTGTGTTGACAAATAGTTCCTCAGTTCTGCAATGTCAAATCACATTACATGTTATCAAGTACTTATTTAAAGTAATAGCAGTGGTGCTCGCTATAGCTAAATTACTCTACATTTCGACTTTATTTAGGGGCTTAGCTTAGCAACATATGGTTAATTTCACGGAATTTGATATTTCCGATAAATTATTCTAAATGGAAGACCATTCACACACCAAAATAATCCCCTTTTTAAATTTGCGAAAGGTCGAGAAGATGCCTCTAAACAGGTTAGCCGCATGACACATACACAGAAAAACCAAATTCGTTATGTACTTGGCAGGTCCTTCTGTGGATTCTGAAAATAAGGTTTTGTTTTGCGTTCCTAAATGCCAGTTTGCCCACAAATTGATGTCTATACAATTTCAAAGGAAGTCGTATCATCCCAGGGCTTGTTTTTTTTTCATTCACGTCCCCGCGGTTAATTGCAAGCTCCTCTATCCTGTGTGCACGGCAGTCACAGAACCACCAAAATATTTTGCGAACTTCCTCAACAGCAACTCCGTAACATGTCATTGTTGAAGCTGTTGTACTCCCTTGTGACAGTGTGTCCTCGCGGGGTGATTTTGCAGACCGTAGGTAAAAGCTGAAGTGGCCACTGTAGCGGAGGTTTATGTAAATGCGTCGTGACTGGACCAAGTCCGCCCAACACTCTGATTGAATTCACCCACAAGTAATCGGGG